TGAACTGAATGTAAGACAAATTATATGGTTGTTTTAATCTACCATTCACCCTCAGTTCTCCTTCCATTGTAGTGAAGTGGCAGCTTGGTTTTTCAAGATCTCTAGGCCTTGGGAAAATGTACCCTTCCCACATCTTTGGATTCTGACAAACACTTTTACCAACAGTAAATCAAAGGAGAACCTTGTTTTGATATGAGGGTTTTTTGGCACAATTCTTAATGCAAGAAAGTTTAAAATGAAGCTGGAAATAATCTGTTTAAGATCATTTATGTTGTATTGTCAAAGGCACAAATGCTCTGAGATTCTTCATTTTGTGTTTAAGTGGGACCATTTGGTTTAGTTTAAAAAGCTCTTTAGAAAAATTCAAGACAATGTTCTGCACTATCAAACCCAACGCATCTTTTGTCTGACCATCTCTCCCAAATTTGTCCTTGGAGCTAGTAAGACTCCTATTCATGAGATGTACTGTAGCACTTGGCACCCTTCTCAAATAAAAGTTCTCTTCCCAGCCCTCAAATCTCCCTCCCTCTGTGTGTGTGTTCTGTAGTTCTAGGGATGCGGGTGGCACTGTGGTCCAAACCACTGAGCCTCTTGGGCCTGCTGATCAGAAGGTTGGCGGTTTGAATCCTTACAACGGGGTGAGCTCCTGTTGCTCTGTCCCAGCTCCTGTCCACCTAGCAGTTTGAAAGCACACTAGTGCAAGTAGATAAATAGGTACCCCTATGGCGGGAAGGTAAACAGCATTTCCGTGTGCTCTGGCTTCCGTCACGGTGTTCTGTTGCGCCAGAAGCAGTTTAGTCATGCTGGCTACATGACCCGGAAAGCTGTCTGTGGACAAACGCCAGCTCCCCAAGCCTGAAAGCGAGATGGGTGCCGCAACACCACAGTCGCCTTTGATCGGACTTAACCATCCAGGGGTCCTTTAACTTTCCCTTTACCTGCTGTCGTTCTGCTGAATTTTAAGGCATTTATTTGAGAGGTTTCTAACCCCAGCACAGAGCTGCATGCTGGCAACTTGTAACGCAACATTTAAACAGGTTTGAAATTGTATTAGATTTGTACTTTTGACATGCCCTGAAAAGCACGATAATTTACTGTCCAAATGGATTATCCAGAGGCACTGTTGACTTTACTGGATGTAATGAGAGGCAGTGGTACTATTACCCTAGCTTTAAATATTCTGGCACTCCTGCCAGTGCTTGGAAGTCAACACCATTGATTTCAGGAGAATGCTTTTCCTGATGCAAGTGTACTTAGGATCTCAGCCCATGTTTCATAACCAAGTCATCAATAAAAAGGGGGGGGGATCCTTTCCATACTCCACTCACTGTCCTACAGCCGAAGCCATCTAAATGCTGATTGGAATTGATTCTGACACAAATTGAATGCTCCTGATCTCGCGTCTCAGTGGTAGTCTGGAAAACGGGAAGATTTAAGAGGCTATTTTTAAAATTTATTTTTTGGGAAATTCTTATTATACCAGAGTTCAATACCCTGGCAATCCATAGTCACCCAGCTAGGCACACTTAGAACAAAATGTCCACTGCATTGATTATGCACGGGACTGAATAAATCAGTTTAAAGAGTGCACTTACCACTTTCCCACAGCCATTTGGCATATGTTCCTTTTAAGTTTTTGACAAAAAGAACCCTCTTGATGGATGAATTCATCTCATAAGGGGGCAAAACAAGGCCCGTTTCTACAAGAGTGGAGTGTGGTTATGAAGCAGTCCCTCCAATAAGTAAATCTGATGCACCACACTTGGTCATTAATCAACAGACAGCATCTCATCCCTACAAACGCATAACAGTAATTCATCACCACCCTGAAAGACCCATTTGAAGTTTCTCCTGCTTATTTAGTCATATTGGAAGTCTCTTTTTAAAACTTCTAAACGTCTTCTCAAGTGACCTTATAATACCAAGGGGCATGGATCTTTCACCCCAGCCCAGTTTGAATATTATAAAAGTGAAAAATGTGGTGGAAATAGAGGAGATACTCAATTCAGGAAAAAACCCTGTTTCGCAGAAGTCCCACATTATCCTGTGTTGAACTTGGTTCATTTTGCCAGGATTCACTTAGATTCTCTGATCCCTCCAGACCATATAGGTCTTTTAGCCATGTTTATGCTGCATCAGAGAGATCAGAAAACAGAGAGATCACCCAGGTATCCTAAGGTCTACAATATTCATAGCCTGTAGGGGCAGGAATTAAACTCCATAAACAACTGTTTTATTATCACATTTTTGTGTTGGGTTAGATTGTTGTAAGGTGTACATTCTTTGTTTCTTCAGCTTGGAAACCGCCTTGAATACTGTAAACTAGAAAAACGGCACACAAATTAAAAGTGAAATGAAAAATATTAAGCCTCAAAGTCCAGTGCAATGTTGCAAGTGATGAACCTAACACTCAGGTCATATCTGCATTATCCATGTAAAGTTGATATTCCCTCAGGGTCCCATCCAATTCTACAATTCTATGATCCTACTTTAGACAGCCATGGCTTCCCCCCAATAATACAGTGGTACCTCAGGTTACATACGCTTCAGGTTACATACGCTTCAGGTTACAGACTCCGCTAACCCAGAAATAGTACCTCGGGTTAAGAACTTTGCTTCAGGATGAGAACAGAAATTGTGCTCCGGCGGCATGGCAGCAGCAGGAGGCCCCATTAGCTAAAGTGGTCTTCAGGTTAAGAACAGTTTCAGGTTAAGAATGGACCTCCGGAACAAATTAAGTACTTAACCCGAGGTACCACTGTACTAGGAACTGGAGTTTGCTAAGGGCGCTGCAAATTGCTAGGAGATCCCTGCTCCTCTTATAGCATGACAGTTCTCAGGGTGGTTTAACAGTCAACCCCTCTTCCCAGGGAACTCTGGGAATTGTAGCTTTGTAAGGGGAACAGGTGGCTCTTAACAACTCTCAGTCCTTGACATGCCCCTGGATTGCCACCTTTCTACCCTCTTTTCACCTTTTCTAATGGTGGGACACTAGCAGCAGAGATACTTTCCTCAACAGCTAGGAGGGGGCTTCCTAGGGCAGACCACCGCCCAAAGGGAGAGAGATCAACAAAATCTCTTTCGTTCCTGAGGTGCCTTCTGAGGAACCATAGGATTGCACTCTGAGGCATGTGAACAGCTAATTTCTTCTAAATGCTCTTGACAATTTATCCTTTCATGAGGTTCGCTGCAGCTAATTGCATTTTCCTTCTCATCTGTTAACCATCATTATGTCAACTGTATTGCCTGTATTTATTACTACTAGCACAATTTTAAAATACATATAAATGTATATATTACATTTATCCTGATAGAGGTGAGATCATAGTGAGTCCATAGAAGCATGAAGCAGAATCCAAGCAAGAGGCTGTCGAAAGAGTTTGCGAGTGGAAACATGACAGGCCTATTAAAGAACGTGAGTCATAAATGGAAGTCATGCAGCGCTGATGCAAGGGGGGGGGGGTTGGACACAATGTATTGGGGGTTTCCACACCAGTAGCAATATGTAGGAACAGATTTACAGGATAGACCAAGAATCCTGTCAGGTTTAATGAGGAGCACAACAGAGTGGCGCCTGCAGCTTTGTACAGCCAACTTATTTGCTTATTCACTCCAATGGGAGCTTCTTCTCCCAATGCAAATTGCAGGCATGGAGAACTCAACCCAGAGTGGGACCACTGCAGAGGATATATGTATTTTTTATGTATATTTGTATTTATCAGTAGATGCTAAATAGTGACACTAAATAGCTGTTGATTATGAGGGTTATAAATTGTGTAAATACAGACATAAAATATTTGCTTCAAGCTTATTAGGGGCTAATTTGCTATGTTTATCTATGGGGCAGTACATAGCTGCTTTATCAAGCAGGCAGAAGTGGAATGAAATGTAGATCAGGCCTGGTTCACACCATTAGCAGTGCTACAAAGCTGCCTCCATACCCTTCATTTCACTCTACAGTTTGGGTCCCCAAGAGGGATGAAGAGCAGGAAATAATCGATTGCCAAAAGATCACAAAGGAAACTGTGCTAATTATTCAACCCAAACACTGAACTCTTAATTTCCTCACCACTATTGCCCTATTCTTTCAAATGACTTGCTGAATCAACACACTGGCGAACAAAGAGCCAAAGAGTTTCAAAACGCTAAAAGCAAAATTGCCTTAGCAATACTCAGTGGGTGGCCACTAATAAAGTCCTAGATGGGACCAGACAGTTGGACCTGGGACATGCAGCCCTCCTGTGGGCTACGTTCCTGCAATGCTTAAAGTGTTTTTACTGCTAGTTTCCTTCCTCAAGTAGAGCACCAGCTGTAAGACTTGCCACCCACTGAGCATCACTAATGCAAGTTGGTTTCAGATGCTAGCACCTAGCTTATTGGGCTGTAGCTGTCAGAGGTGATTGGGACACACAAATACCTTTTCATCCAATGAAGCGTTTCTTATTTACTCATCTTAATCCTGGGTGGGTGGGGGACAACCTCACAGAACTCAGTGCAGGCTGTTCAGAAGTAGACATGTTTCAATGCCATTCGCAAGGCATCGCCCACTTGATTTTAGCTCCCTTCTCCCATCCACATCGTTCACATGCTTTTGAAAATTATTCAAATATTACCATATGTGTACATATAGTACATAAACAAGCACATCCCTTGATGAAAATCAACAGAATAATTTCACCCTAGCTAACAATTCTTCTGAATCTCCAGTGGGCTAAAAACTAAATCCAGTTCTCCATGTATGAGTTTATTTCCCTTCCCTCTGGAAGGCTACAATACATTAAGGTAAGCCCATTGAATTCCATGGGGATTATATCTGAGTACATAAATGGGTAAGTTTTGCCACCAGCAATGTAGTTCATCATCTTCCTAGCCAAGCTTCACTAGATAAAACATAAGAACATGGGGAGCTGACTTCTGTTGAGTTGGATCATCTAGCTCAGTTTTGTTGGTGTTGATTGGCAGTAGCTTTTCAGTAGACCGGGATCTATTCTAAGCCTACCTGCAGATGGTGGAGATTGAACCCAGGACCTTCTGTGTGCAAAGCAGATGCTCTACTAATGAGCTATGGCATTTCCCCAGTACGGTGGTACCTCGGTTTAAGAACAGTCCGGTTTAAGAACTATTTGGTTTACAAACTCCGCAAAACCAGAAATAGTGTCTTGGTTTGAGAACTTTACCTCGGTCTAAGAATGGAATCCGAATTGTGGAAGGGGACTGGCGGTGGGAGGCCTCATTAGGGAAAGCGCCCCTCGGTTTAAGAACGGTTTCGGTTTAAGAGTGGACTTCTGGAACAGATTAAGTTTGTAAACCGAGGTACCACTGTATTCTATTTAGATTCTGTTTCAGTCCTGGATTTTAGGAAAAAATTAATCATTTATTTTTCATTTTACTGTCTCAAAAGATTCCTTCATATAACATAGAAGAACTATTGGATTTAATGAGAACTTTTGGTCTGTCTTTTATTATCACAGTTATAGCTTGCTGAAACCAGACATTTTTAGGGCAGGCCCACCAAATATAACCATTGTCTGCCTGAGGTTGTCCAAATCCTCAACAAGGATTATTTTGTATAAGATTATAATAATTAATGTTTCTTTATTTACTGCTTTTCAACGAATGCAGAGAGCCCCAAAGGGCTGATGATATATACATATCTTTCTCGAGCTAAGATCTGTTTGGTCATTGTTTCATTTATTTTTCATTTTTCATCATTTAAATTATTTTTCTCTTAAAGCAATAGCTTTATACTTTTTACCCTCTTGAGTAAATATATACATATATCCAACATGATATTATAGTTCAGTTCCTTCCCCATTCAGGTGTAAATTTATGTTTAGCTAAAGATTTAGCCTTCGATCCTAAAATACTTTCAATGGGCCCAGCCATCCCAGAGGGTGCTAGAAACATTAGATCTCCTTCTCTAAGGCCACAAAAAGTTGTTAAACTCTAGAGAAGGACAGCCAGTGTTGGATGTCTCCTCTTCCCTACACCATCGTACTTTCAGGGGCCCTTGATCTTCTGTTGGAGCATTAACATCAGTAAGGCAGAAAAGGTGCATGTCATGGGCAGATAGAGGGCATGTTGGTGGGAGGCAGAACAAAAGTAGGCAAGGATGCAAAGGATCCAGCGCTTTCTGGGTCTCCAAACACCACCACTCCCTGACCTGTGGGAAGAAATGAAATAAAACCAATGGGCATTATTTACAAATTAAAATACTTATACCTCACCTTTGGAATCATGGAATCCTCAAGCTGCCTTGAGAACAGAGAAGTACACAATATAACTTTAAAAAATACATAGCATTATATCCAGGAAATAATCAAACCAAATGGAACAACCCTTCTCCCTGTCCAAAGAACTTCCAAAATTCTCTAAAATAGTGCTGCCTTTCCCAGGTATCGAAAACAACCATAAAAGAAGCTGGATGAACAACCTTTGGGAGGGAATTCCATAATTTTAACACATAACTCATCATATATATAGAACTACCTCTTATCTTAGAGTGCTCATTGAAGATATTATCATTTTTAGAGATAAATCAAAAGCAATTTTCTGCTTAATCTCATCCAAGTTCCAAAATAAGAAGTATAGTATTAGATTATTATCAATATTCATTGGTCTTTTCTTTTTCTCTGACCATGAATGTGAATTCCAAGGGTATCCCATTACCTTTTTGTTCCACAGATCAACGATATCTAATCCAGCATCCTAATCCAATATATGATTGCCACCAATTCCAGGTGTCAGGAATATTCAAACTCCTATATTGATCTCTCTTTTGCAAGAATTTTCAATTCTACCCCCTCCCATTATTTATAAATTTAATACATCTTATTCCATTTTTAAAAACATATTTTATCTGATACACTAATAGGTAATGTGGGAAACAGAAAAGGCAATTTCAAAGGGCCATTAGATTTTACTACATCTATCTGAGCCATCCATGATAAATTCATCTCATTCCATCTCCTGATATCCTTCTTGATTTCTTTACTATGGATCATAATTATTCTCAGAGTCTTTAAATCCACAGATAAGTTAATGCCCAAATGTTTATTTGAGACTTCTTTCCATGGAATAGAACAGGACTGTCTCCTGGAGCTTTTTGTATCGCAAACCTAGCTTTTCAAATTTGGTTTCATTTAATAAATAGCATGATGCTTTGCTACACTGGCGGAGGATTTCATTCAATACTTCTTTTGAAGACACTACTAGTTCTGTCAAGGAGATTACCAAACTATCGTCTGAAATTATCTGTACCTTTATCCTATCTGCTGCCTGTTGCCTGCTATAATTCTTTTTATTTGATATATATATATTCCTGCTAATGAGTTAACGGTCAAAACAAATAACACAAGGAACAAAGACCACTGTTTCCCAAACAGCCACGCTCTCTAAAGTATGTTTAAATAACTAACTATGTTGTGATTCAGAATTAGACATATTTACAAGCCCAGTGGAATGAAAAAATAAAAGTGCTTCTTTTTCTTTTTAGCTTTCAAATCATGGTGGTGGTTGGTTTTTATACACATGTACGTTATTGAAGTGTACCTTGGTTAGATGGGTGTTTAGCAGAGGGGTGGGCAACCTTGATGTAATTTTGAAAGCTTTCTACAAGTGATTGGTTCAGATCTCCAGCAAGAGTCATCTGTTTCTCTTCCAGCAGTCCAGACAAAGAGGGAGAGCCCTCATACAGCCACAATAAAACAGGAAAGCAGAACATGAAACCTCATTTTTAATTATGAGCCTGTTACAATTCTGGAACTTCAGAGTCAGGGGTTGTTATACATATGGGAATTAGAACAGGCTAGATTTGCATTACAAGCAGTTATAATTAACTGGTTTGGCATCATCATCACTGTACATAACTTCAAGAAATTGATGGGCAAGTGTGAAGAAATAACCAGTCCTCAATACTCTTACATCAAGACTCCTTCCTTGTTGCCCTTCCACCAGCAGGTGCAGGCTTTCTTGTTCTAACAGGTTTTGGGGAACTAATTGGTTTTAATGAAAGGGCTCATGCTTTTCCTATGTTTTTAGCTATTCTTGTTTTTATCTGTAAACTGCTTTGAGTCCCTGTTAGGGAAAAAGGCAGAAAATTTAAAATTTAAAATGGTTTCTCCATTGGGGTGTATGGGGTGTTAGTGGACATGTTGTGCTTCTTCTGGGGTAGTCTGCCCACCTTTAGTGCCCATCCAACACTCAGCTCTCACCTGTGGCTCTTAGAAGCTGTCAGCATGTGACAGAGGCCACACCCTGGGAATGGATTCGACTGGCTGGCTAAACCAGGTGAGGGTAGCCGATGGGTCTCAAACACTCAGTGAGCTAGGGACTCCCCAAGCTCTGGAGGATTAAGCAGACAGGACTAATAGTGGGTCCAACAGTCAAGAAAGTGGTTTCTACACATGCTGCAGAGGGAAGTGAGGGGCAGATGAGGTCATCATCCCGGGAAGGTGGCTAATCTAGGAGAAGGAAAACTATAATCCTAAACCTCCGCTGCCTCATGGGATATCTCCGGAAGAAGAAAGATCTAAGCAGTAGACCCTACACAAATCCGGAATGGAGTCTTAAGATGGTTGGATGGCATCTTGGATGCCACCTCCCAACAGCTCCTGCAGCCAAGCTGGTACCAAACATATTGCTCTGCTTTCCTTTGAACTACATCAGCAAGGCCAAAGGGGGCAGCCCAGGACCTTCATACACTCTGCCAGGGCTTGTGCCACAGGGACGTCACTTCAGTGCTGCTAACACAGCAGTTTGACTTCACCCCTGGAGATGCACGCCATTGTCTTTCAAGACAGATAGATGCCAACAACAAAGATCTCTCCATCCCCTCTGCCTTTATTTATTATTTTATTTATTAAATTTGTACACCAGCCTTCAGCCTGCAGATATCAGGGCAGTTCACAACATAAAAATATGGGACCTTTTCCCACCAGCCACCATCAACTGAACAGTTTTCTGTGTGCAAGAACAGTGAGTGGTGAGTTTTGAGAAACCATGGCTATCAAAGCCCTGCTTCCTCACAACAGTTGCTGTCTTCAGCTGCTCCAATTTCATGCACCGACCTACAGCCTCTGAGCCTACCTTCAGTTGCCAGAAGGGCTTCATGGTAGCTTGGGAAGCAGCAGGGCAGCTAAGCATAGCAGCTGTCGGAAAGCAACAGGAAAACAGAGGGAAGAATTCTAGGGACATGACTGAGTTGTAATTGTGATCAGGTTGATTAGCAAGTCTGCCACACCTGCTGGGACCAGACGTCAGCAATGACTGTTCCCCCACCACACACACACACACGGCTTTGTCCTCTGGAAGCTCATCAGCTTGGTTTTTATTTTTTGTGCAATGTACATCTTTCCAAGGATATCTCACTTAAAAATTTGCATCAGTGATTTGCAGAAGGTTGAGATTCCCCAAAGAATCATGGTTTAATTGCTGTTATTATCTTCATAAAGCTGTCCAGGGTGCATGTGTGTGCTTTTATCCCGTGGTTATTTAAAGCTTATCTCAAAGACATTGATAGCAGTGGAAGGTCTAGTGGAAGACTGCAGTCCTGGATTTCCACTAGCAGAGTTATGGTAAAAATAATAGGACTCCTAAATCAATCATTGGCTTTCTCTAATTTATGGCATTGTTGTATTTTCAGGCCCAGCCGTGGCATACACAGCACATCATTATGGGGAAAAGCAGTTACTCGATAATATAAAAAAAGATAACTGCAGAGATAGTTAGTGCCAGCCCTCTGAAGAAAAAAATAAAATACTTAGACAACGGGTAGAAAGTCAATATTATAAATTGAAATGACAAAAAAACCCACCCTGAGATGCCTTAATAATAATAAAAAAACACAGCGCCCCCCCAAGCTTTAAGAGTTCACATTAGTTTTAACAAGTTGCACAATGCAGTTGATTATATGATACATAGCAGAACTTTCAAAAGCGGAATGAGATGTGGAATGAGAGTTTCGTGGTGGTAGGAAATGCCCAGCTCTTGACAATGGACCCATGTGATTTGGTGACACCCAATTCCATCCCTCACCCACAGAGTATTTCTGCCAGATGGTGGATCTGCA